GTGTTTGAGGGGGGCACCTGACGCTAGCGCTAGTGAGTTAGCAATCGCACGGACCTCATGTTCTTGTACTTGGTGTCTCTGCAAGGTCTGTGTTGAGGAGGATAGTGTATTATAGACCTCCAGTACAGTTGCAGTAATCCACCTGGGGATGGAAGTCGGGGAAACCGGCTTATCCCGCTTGTCAGGGCCGTAACACAAAAACATGTGTTTGGTTCCCTGTCTAGAAAACCTGGTACGGTTCTCGTAGCAACTCAGCAATTCCTACTGATCCTCCGGACTGACAATATTTGCCAGCCGGGGGATGACGATCGATTGAAGATCGTGTCCTGGAATTTGGTTCTTGGCGAGAACCCGATTCGTGTCTTAGTACAACTTGATCGCCCATACAAGCGGCACAACCGTCCGCAAAGGATAGTGCGCGCCTAGCTTTGACCGGCGCCTACCTGAGGCGAGGGCCAGTAGGAAGACTATTTTCCACATCAAAAAATTGAGTGGTGCTGATTGGAGAGGCTCAAAAGGCAGTCTGCTTAGAGCAGACAACATAGCCGACGAGTCCCAGTTGGGTGGCTCCCTTGTATGGGGTCTTGAAAGCAGTAAATAGTCTCCTAAAAATAGGACAATCGGCTAGTCTTGTTCCCATACGTTCTGAGTGGTGGGGACAAGACCAACCTGTAGCCAACGCTCGCTGCGTAGAACAAACCCACTTCGTCAAACAGGTGGAAGAAGGAGCCTGCTACCTAGCCAATAGAGGGATGGTATGGATCAATCTCCCTTCTGCTACACCAATCAGTGTATGCTTGCAGCCTAGAAATGTAGGCCGCGTAGATGGAATCCCTGTTCGCCCTGGCCAGGACGTTGGCAGCCCGCTCAGATAAGGCTTTCATATGTGCGGGTCTACTGAGAGCCTCTATGCTGGGCTCGTTGGTAGTGCGCCGTCTGGTTGGGACGGCAGGTCCGGTAAGTCCGGAAGCACTGCTGGCGCTTTGACTAGCCTTCCCAACAGAAGTGGAAACTAGGCCTTGCTTGGCCAATTGGGTGCAACCCATGATAATATGCGGGTGTGCACCTGTCGAAACTTTTCTCCGGTGCCCGGTGAACTAGCGGGAAGGGAGGAAAGGCGCACACAACTAAGTGGGTCCACGGGGCTAGCAAAGTGACCCTGGCCCAGGCTCCTGGAGTCAGCAGGAGTGTTACGTACGTCGGGAGCTGGCGTTCCGGAGTG